AGAAAGCATGGGATCTTTTTTCATTGTTACGCTGACGACAGTCAGATCTATATGCCACTTAAAAAGAAAGATGCCCCCTCAATTAGGCCACTTCTGTTGTGTCTTGAAGACATCAAAGCCTGGATGTCTTTAAACTTCTTAAATTTCAATGAAAAGAAAACAGAAGTGATGGTGTTTGGTCCTAGTGGCTCTTGTGAACCTTGCCCTGTTGATCTGGGCCCTCTGGCACCACATGTAAAGAAAACTATTTCTAACTTGGGTTTTAAAATGGACAGTGATTTTAAATTAGAGTCCCAGATTGGAGCGGTGGTCAAGACCAGTTTTTATCACCTCAGACAGCTGGCTAAGGTAAAGACCATCCTTACAAAACAGCAGCTGGAAACAGTAATCCATGCCTTCGTCACCTCTCGGCTGGATTACTGTAACGCTCTTTACCTTGGAGTCAGCCAGTGCTCCCTCAGACGTCTCCAGTTGGTCCAGAACGCTGCTGCCCGGCTTCTAACTGGAGTTCAAAAAAGGGAGCACATCACCCCCACTCTGGCTTCACTCCACTGGCTGCCTGTTCATTTTAGAGTTCATTTTAAGATTATTTTATTTGTTTTTAAAAGTTTAAATGGTCTTGCTCCATCCTACCTCTCTGAGCTGCTTCACCCATACTCTCCTGCTCGGTGCCTCAGATCAGCTGATCAGCTGCTCCTGGAGGTGCCGAGGTCTAAGCGGAGGCTCAGAGGGGACAGAGCTTTTTCTGTTGCTGCTCCAAGACTGTGGAACGATCTCCCTCTTCCTATCAGATGAGCTCCTTCACTGTCCAGTTTTAAAACTCTTTTAAAAACACATTTTTACTCCCTCGCTTTTAGCACACACTGAATTTGATCTGCACTGTTTTTATTACTTTTATTGATCTTAATGTTTTAACAACTGTTTTTATGTGTTTAAATGTTCTTGATTTTATATGTACAGCACTTTGTAGCAGCTGTGGTTGTTTTAAAGGGCTTTATAAATAAAGTATTATTATTATTATTATTATTATAAATCCTCCTCTTAGCACTATTAGTCCAACAGAACCGGTCATTTTTATTATGATGCCCTGAGCAGTTCTGCTCAGTAAAACTCGTTTCTTCAGTTTATTCCCACAGGTGTTCATGTCTTCTTCAGTCTGCAGCTCTGTCTGATCTCCTCCTCAACCTCCTTCCATAAAAACATTCATTTAATTTAAAAATGAAGGCAGGACCCACATGTTTTGATTGACTGCTCTCTGAGCCAAGATGAGCTTCTGTGTGGAGTCCACAGGCCCGTTAGATTCAGCTGAGGAGAACTTTAAGGTGTTGAATCATTGTAGAGAAGTTATCTCTTCCTGAAGGGCGGCACGGTGGCACAGCTTGCTGCCTGTCAGTGAGCAGGTTGCCCTGGTTCAAATCCCGGCCAGGGGGCCTTTCTGAGTGGAGTTTGCATGATCTCTCCGTACATGCGTGGGTTTTCTCCAGCTCCTCCGGTTTCCTCCCACAGACCAAAAAAATTGTCTCTAGGTATGAGTGAGAGAGTGAATGGTTGTTTGTCTCTGTGTGTCCCTGTGATGGACTGGAGACCTGTCCAGGGTGTCCCCGCCTCTCACACAATGACTGCTGGACATGGGCACCAGTGACCCCCACGATCCGAAGAGGAAGAAGCGGGTAAAAGATAATGGATGGATGTAGATCTACACATCAGCTTTAACAAGTAGTGTTTGTTGTTGTTTATTTTAATTTTGGATGTTTTTTGAGTCTGAAAGCTTTTAGTGCAGATTCATTTAAAATATATCTGTTAGGACTGACAAATTAAATATGTCAGTTCCTGGTTTTACACCTTCAACTACTCTCTTAACTAATGCCAGGATTAAATCCTTGGCACTTGTTTTATGGGCTACAGCTCTCCCATCATGCACCTGGGTGCCTTTTATGGTTTCTTAACTCGAAGCACTGTAAAATATTTTCTTTGCTTTAGTTTAGATTTAAATATCAGACTTGCCTTCCCCTCCATATGAACCACAGCTGTGTTCTCTTCTCAGCAGTCTGTGACCCTGATAACTCTGATAGAAGACGTTCATGATCACATGATTGTTACTGATTTAAGACGACTCTCTGTCAAAGGTTTGACTTCAGTTTGATTTACTTTTAATAAGTTAGTTTGTATTTATCAGACAGTCCCTGCATGATGTTATAAGACAAACACAAATTTCCAGAAGTTTTAAGAAATGTGTATATATATAAACTTGATGTTTCTAATCGAAAATACTGATTCCTCATCTCCATCTGACAGCTTGGTATACCAAAAGATTCTCACTCGTTTATTTTTTTTTATGCTGTATTTTTCTAAAGTTAACAAAAATCATTCATATTTAACAGTTGTTGTTTGTCGTTTCCAAACTTATTGTTTAGTGCTATAGGAAACATTTATTCACGCTTGTTCACTTTAAGCAGGGATTTTTTTTTGTGGGGGGGGGGGGGGGGTGAAATGATTAAAAAAAATGTGTTTGTTGAAATTTCCGTCAGATTTTATTTATTTATTTTTGTTATATCTTGACCTCAGAGAAGTCTGTGTAAACTTGGATTATTACCATTAAACAAATTGGCTCTTACTTGGCTCAGTGTGAGCATCAGTACTAATGCTGTTTTGTTCTGGTATTTCCCTTTTTAGATATTTAAGATTCAGTTTTTTATCGTAATAGTTCACTTCAATACTTAGCAGTTCTAGTAATGAATATACTTGTTTTTATTTGTGATTTGATGTACTAGAACTTAGTGTGTGGGGCTTTTTTGTTGTTGTTCATTTTTCATGTACAGATCAAAGTATATTTCCTAGGATTTTAAGTTGTGAAACGGGTATATTTTTGGAATTATTTTCACGTGAGTTCACGCAAAATTATAAGCAGCCTCATGATCAGTATAATGAGGCTGATCGGCGCATGCGCTGTTCAGTCTCCAGCCGCCTGGGCGGAGCCTGGGCATGCAGCGCACGCGCATGCGCGTACTTTAGAACTTCACTGGTCTGGTGGGCGGAGCCTCCGTGCTGCTGTTGGAGGCTCACCGGAGGTTCAACATGGACGCCAAGAGGGGTTAGTCTGCTCTAATCTATTTTCTGCCCGCCGTTATTTACACGCTGACAGTGGGTTTAGCTGGTGTTCGTGTCTCGGCGATGTGTCCGGAAGGACCGGGGATTCGGCGGAGCTTTAGTCGGGGAAACCTGCAGGCGGTCTGAGGAGGTCACGCCGAACGTTTTGACGTGCAGCGGGTCTCGTGAGAGAAGAGCTCCCGGTGGTTGTGGTGGGGGGTCGGGCAGCTTCCCCGAGGGTGTGGGCTGATTAAACGCGTCAAGGGAAGGGGTGTCGAACCGTAACGGGAGGTGAAACCAGATCTGCGGCAGGATTTCTGTCTCTGTGGTCCGGACTCTATTTTTAGCATCTATCGGCGCTGCTAACATGCCCGCTACCATATGTAGGCAGGCGGCCACATTTAGACCAGGACCCCCTGGTCCTGCGTCCACAGTCAGGCCCAGGAGAACCCCCAGGT